AAAAAAAACAGCTGGGCGCAGTGGTTCACTCCCATAATCCCAGCACTTTAGGAGGCTGAGGTGGGCGGATCACCCGAGGTGGGGAGTTCAAGACCAGCCTGACCAATATGGAGAGCCCCCATCTCTACTAAAAATGCAAAATTAGTGGGGCATGGTGGCACATGCCTGTAATCCCAGCTACTCGGGCGGCTGAGGCAAGATAATCGCTTGAACCCGGGAGGCGGAGGTTGCGTTGAACCGAGATCACACAATTGCACTCCAGCCTGGGCAACAAAAGCGAATTTCTGTCTCAAAAAAATAAAGAAAAGAAAATATGCAGATGATCGATAGGCTTGAGAGGTGTCCCTCTGAGTGGTAACCAAAGAAATGCTAATTAAATAAAATAACACAAAGCCTTTGCAACTAATTTTCAAATTAGTGATCCTTTAAACGAGTAATTAAGAGAGCTGGAAAGGATGCAGGGAGATGTCATCGAGGTACATTGTGGTTGGAGTGTAAATTGGTACATCCTTTCGCTTAGGGCTATTTGCAGTATAAACACATTTCATTAAAACATTCATTCCATTCCTACTTTTGCACTGATTTAATTACAAGATTGTTCATGGCAGCATGAAATAGGGAAGCTTTAGAAAGCAGCTTAATGTCTAATGAAGTATGGAATAAATTGTGGTATGAGTGCATGGGGATAGTGGGATGGGGAGGCTATGAGGGGGAAGGAAACAAATCTTAGGTAACACAATGGTTTGTTGCCTTCCAAAGGGCCACAGGACATTAAAAGACATACGTTACAGTATATCTATGTTATTAAAATGTCATGTGGTGGGGAACTAGGAAAAAAGATCTAGAAAGGATCTTTAAGATGGTGATATGAAAAAAAAGTTGAGAAAAAATGATCTAGGTTCGGTGTAATGGCTCACGCCTATGATCCCAGTACTTTGGGAGGCCAAGGCAGGCACATTACCTGAGGTCAGGAGTTCCAGACCATCCTGGACAACATATTGAGGCCGCATTTCTACAAACATTTAAAAACATGCTGGGCGCGGTGGCTCACGCCTGTAATCCTAGCACTTTGGGAGGCCGAGGCAAGCAAATTACCTGAGATCGGGAGTTGAAGACCAGCCTGGCCAACATGGTGAAACCCCGCCTCTACTAAAAATACAAAAAATTAGCCGGGTGCAGTGGCGCAGGGCCATAATCCCAGCTACTTGGGAGGCTGAGGCAGGAGAACTGCTTGAAGTCAAAAGGCGGACGTTGCGATGAGCCGAGATCGCGCCACTGCACTCCAGCCTGGGCAACAAGAGCGAGACCTCAGTCTCAAAAAAAAACAAAACAAAACAAAATGTAAATATTAGCCAGGCCTGGTGGCACATGCCTGTAGTTCCAGCTACTCAGGAGACTGAGGTGGGAGGATCGCTTGAGCCCAGGAGGTGGAGGATGCACTGAGCTGAGATCGCGCCCCTGAACTCCACCCTAGGCAAAGTGGGGAGACCCTGTCTCAAAACAAACAAACTTTACATTTCTGAGTGATAAACAGCATGGGCCGCCTCCGGGACCTGCTCGGGTGGGACACTCCAGGCTGCCCTTAAGAAGGAGCGCGGGTATGGGGTGCCCCCCTCCCCCGCCACGGCCGGGCAGCGCGGGCCGCCCTTCCGGCGGGGATCCCCGCGTCTCTCGGCCTTTCCCGGAGCCCCACTGTTGTGTTGAGACCGCCCTTCGACGCGGAGTCCGGCTCCACAACCACGTAAACAAATTGTGGATCCAGACACCACGAGCGGCGGAAACAAAGGCGTCCCCACAGTGTCCCGCCGCCGGCTGAGGAGAAGGTCCGCCCGGCGCAGAGCTGGGGAGGGACCGAGCGCGCCGCCTTCAGGCCGACAACACACGGTCCGTTTTGAACTTTCTGGGTGCGGATCTCCCAAGGCTTCCGCCGGGTCACTCACTGTCTTCAGCCAAATCAAATCTTCAAAACCTGCTGCCGGCTAATTTTTTTTCTTTTGAGACCGAGTCTCGCTCTTGTTGCCCAGGCTGGAGGGCAGCGGCGCGATCTCGCTCACTGCAGCCTCCGCCTCCGGGTTCCGGTGATTCTCCCACCTCAGCTTCCCGAATAGGTGGGATTACCGCCCCACCACACCCGGCTAATTTTGTGTTTGTTCGTTTGTTTGAGACGGAGTCTCGCTCTGTCTCCAGGCTGGAGTGCGGTGGCGTGATCCCGGCTCACTGCAAGCTCCGCCTCCCGGGTTCACGCCATTCTCCTGCCTCAGCCTCCCGAGTAGCTGGGACTACAGGCACCTGCCACCACGCCCGGCTAAGTTTTTGTATTTTTAGTAGAGACGAGGTTTCACCATGTTGACCAGGATGATCTCAATCTCTTGACCTCGTGATCCGCCCGCCTCGGCCTCCCAAAGTGCTGGGATTACAGGCGTGAGCCACCGCGCCCGGTTAAATTTTGTCTTTTTAGTAGAGATGGGGTTTCACCATGTTGGCCAGGCTGGTCTTGAACTCCTGATATCAGGTAATCCGCCCGCCTCAGCCTCCCAAAGTGTTGGGATTACAGGCGGGAGCCACCGCGCCCGGCCTTTTTTTGTGTGTGTGTGACAGAGTCTTGCTTTGTTGCCCAGGCTGGAGTGCAGTGGCGCAATCCCGGCTCCCTGCAGTCTCTGCCTCCAGTGTTCAAGTGATTCTCCCACCTCAGCTTCCCAAGTAACTGGGATTACTGCCCCACCACGCCCAGCTAATTTTTGTATTTTTAGTAGTGACCGGGTTTCACCATGTTGGCCAAGCTGGTTTCGAACTCCTGACCTCGTGATCCGCCCGCATCAGCCTCCCGAAGTGCTGTGATTACAGATGTGAGCCACCGCGCCCAGCCGGAGTCTTCATAATTTCATTCTCCATTTGGAAGGATGCTTGGCCCACTGCTTACCAGCTCCACATTTGTGTCTTCATTTCACACATTTGTCCATCCAGTGAATGTTCAAGTACATTCCATTTGCTTTGTCCTGGGATGACCAGAGGAGAAAAGATCCCTTTCCTGGAGAAGCTTCGAATCTAGCAGGGAGATGAAGAAAAATGAGTAATTTTACAATACAGTCCACAGCTACAAGTTTCAGCAAGTGCTATGTACTACAGTGAGAGCCCCTAATTGGGAGCTATTTGAGAGTTGGGGAGAGTTGCAGAGAAAGTGATGCGTAACCTGGGATTTGGCAGGTGATAGGGCCTGGTCAGCCAGAGGGAAGCAGGCTTTGAGGCTAAGAAGCCAAGGGCCTGGAGCAGTAGCCTCCAGGCTGGAGAGGCAGGGAGCAGATTCTACTTGGAGGACAACCACTGAAGGCTCAAGCAGCACAGTGACACAGTGGAATTTTTTTTTTAAGGATGGGGGCTAAGGCAGGTGGATCACTTGAGGCCAAGAGTCCGAGACCAGCCTGGGCAACACAGCAAACCCCATCTCTACAGAAAATACAAAAATTAGTCAGGCATGGTGATATGTGTCTGTGGTCCCAGCTACAGGGAGGTTGAGGCAGAAGGACTGCTTGAGCCTGACAGGAAAAAAAAAAAAAATTAGCCAGTGGCTCACGCCTGTAATCCCGGCATTTTGGGAGGCTGGGGCCAAGGGATCACTTGAGAGCAGGAGTTCAAGACCAGCCTAAGCAGTGGTAGTGAGCGCCTGTAATCTCAGTTACCCGGGAGGCTGAGGCAGGATAATCGCTTGAACCCAGGAGGTAGAGGTTGCAGTGAGCCGAGATCACACCACTGCACTCCAGCTTGGGCGATAAAGTGAGACTCTGTCTCAAACAAACAAACAAACAAACAAAAAGGCCGGGCGTGGTGGCTTACGCCTGTAATCACAGCACTTTGGGAGGCCGAGTCGGGTGGATCATGAGGTCAGAAGATCAAGACCATCCTGGCTAACACGGTGAAATGCCATCTCTACTAAAAATAAAAAAACAAAATTAGCCAAGCACGGTGGTGAGCACCTGTAGTCCCAGCTACTCGGGAGGCTGAGATGGGAGAATTGCTTGAACCCAGGAGGCGGAGGTTGCAGTGAGATGAGATCATGCCACTGCACTCCAGCCTGGGCGACAGGGTGAGACTCTGTCTCAAAAAAAAACAAGAGAAAGGGAGGAAAAGTAATCGAATGTATGAACTCATGCTATCATAATTTTAATGTCTAGCTGTAAAAGCATATGGTTGTAGCAATAGCTATCTAAAATTTTTATGAGCTACAGTAGCTGTTTTCCATTTTCATTACAATTTTTTAAAGTCTTTGCTTGGTTATCTAAAGATGTTGTTCAAATTTCAAAAGATCTACTATTATCGTCCTCCTTGTGCCCCTAAGGAATTGATAAAATGCACATTCATTTCCTTCTTTCTAAATGTTCCAGTTATAAACTAAAAAATGAAAAAATGGGAAATATTTTCTTGGGCCGTTTTTGTTTTCACTGTAACAACAAAAAGTGTGCAAGATAAACAGAACTCAAGTTTTGTTTTATTTTTCTTTTTGTCTGTTTATTTTTTAACAAGTCTGTCCAGAATACTACAGGTTACATAGCTGTCACCATCTTAAGGAAAATGACATTAAGTTTGCAACAAATACTTGCTGGTGAAAACACATTACTATCATCTCAAAAATTTAACAAAATATCCTACACAGCTCTCTTTAGATTTGTAAATGAAATATAAACAACTGGCTTAACCAGTTTCCACGCACATCAAACAGGTGGCAAAGTGATAGAGACCATCTTTGATTTTTAAAGGAGAATAACAAAAACTAATTTATATCGCACACATTACAATTCTAGGGGATTAGGAACAGGATAACACATGATGTCATCTACTTAAGCAGCCTTTTCATTTACTTGTATTGTCTTGATACTTTACAATGATTTTTTTATTCCTATGACAGTATTGTTGCTGTAAAAGCCATACTTCTTTTATTTATTTATTTATTTTGTATTCCCTTAAAGAAATAGTGTGATCCATTTCCCATTAGATTTCATAAACACACGTGAAACTTCAGACATAATAGGAGGGTGGTGGTTCTTTTTCAGTTTCTGAGGCCTTCTCTCTGAAACATCACAGCTGATAATAGTTCGGCCTATACATGCATGCTGCCATAGATAATTGGGTGGTACCTGCACCTCCTATTTCAAAAACTCAAGCAGAAAGTAGGTCCGGACAAGGGCAAACTGCAACTCAATTTCTGCTGCAACCCCATCTCAGGTCAGTTATGTTTCTTCCTTCACTTTGCTGATAGTCAGTGAGTCTGTTGAGGCCTTCTTCCTGCTGTTGTAGGGCATCCAGGACAATGCCCGTTGGTGTCCTCTTCAAACCTATTACTTCCATTTTATTCTCCAGTGTGTTCCTGAGGTTCCACAGTCTCAACGATGCATGGATAAACATCAACAACCAAGGAAAAGTGATGCCAAACACAAAGACCATGACTCCTCCAAACATGGATATAAGGAAATCGCTGGTGAACATGACCACCATAAGGAACGTCGTGGGGTGGCGCTTCTTCATCCGGCGAAGGATGTCTTTATTGTGGGCTGCTCACGCAAACACTGTGAACGCCAGCACCACCACGATTCCTCCCAGGATCATGTTGAAGGGACTCAGAAACCCCACGACGGAAATCATCATGGCAGCCACCACCAGGTAGTTGGTCTGGCAACAGAGCAGGTTGCTCAGCACGTGGTTGTTCCATTTGCAAATGTCCCTGAAGTCCGGCCAGGCAAAGCGATCGGAGCTGGGGAAGAAGTCATCCCAGGCGTGGAGTGGGGTGATATCCTTTTCTTTTCTTTTCTTTTCTTTTTTTTTTTGAGACAGAGTTTCGCTCTGTTGTCAGGCTGGGGTGCACTGGTACAATCTCGGCTCATTTCAACCTCCACTTCCCGGGTTCAAGTGATTCTCCTGTCTCAGCCTCCTGAGTAGCTGGGATTACAGGTGCCTGCCACCACGCCTGGCTAATTTTTGTGTTA